CAAATCAGATTTTTATTTCACCGTGTATCTCCGACTTCGGCGATACGGCCAACTCAGCACGACGCTCCTCCCTTCGAAACGAAGGATGAGGGTAAAAAGTCATTCCCTAACCTTTGCGAATCACTACGTAACGGGGATGCAATAATAATATGAGAATCGTCGTCTCATCCGTCCTTCGTTCATTCGCTGCAGCACGCTCCCACCGAACGCACGTAAATCGCGTTTCTCCGTGATTACATGGCCGCTCTGAGAAAGGTGAGGGAGAAAGAGAGAGAGATAGAAAGCGCGTCCGCCGTCTCACTCGTCGTTTCTCGCCCGTAATTTCGCTCCCGCCTCTCGAGCATGCACCACGACGACACACGCCGGGTGTCGTCCCACGTGACACGTGTCCGACGGAGGCGCATAATGCACGTGTCGTACGCACGATGCGTAGCAGCAGCGGCCCGTGCACCGCGGCATGCGTCGCTCTGCCGGCGGTCTGGCCGCGTGCACTTTCTCTTTTCTCTCGCTCGCTCTCTCGTGGACGATGATCGCGCGGTAGACCGCCGTCGTCGCCGAAGAGCGCACCAGCTCGGAATCCCAAACCGCGCACCGTTACGCGATTATTTTTCCCCCGACCGGCCGACGCCACAGCTCTCGCGCTAGAGCCTAGAGTCGGGAACGTCGTAGTAATAATAGAAAGCTCTCGTTCGTTCGCGTTCCGCCTCGGTCTCGGAGAAAAAGAAAGAGAGAGAGAGAGAGAGAGCTCCCGAAGGACAAACGCGAGCCGGTTTTACCTTTAATTAACGCAAAGCGAGCAGTAAGTCAAAACGCGTCGCGGGGCGCGCGTGAGCGACGGTGAGAGGAAACGCGACATGCGGCAGAGAGGCGCTCTCCTCCTCTTCGGATTCTCCGAGAGCTCCGTCGGATGTCTTTACGTATTCCTTCACCGACGTGAAGGCTTGATTAATTTTCACCTCTCTCTCTCTTTCTTTCTCTCCTCTTCTCTCTGCGTCGTAAAAACAGTGCGCTCCAAATTGGTCGTTAAGCTTGATCGTAGATAAAAGGAAGCACGGGGAATAGGGGGCAACCTATGGGCTGCCTTTTATAGTCGTATATATACGGGGGTGAGGCGGTCAGCACTTGCGGTTCCTTTAATAGCCACTATAGCGATACGGTTGAATAGTTACTAAAACGTCGCGCTCTCGGCAATCGATTGGGACTGTGCGCGCGCGCGCGCACGCTCGCTCGCTCGCGTTCATAGTCACACGCTCGTCGAAAATATCACTCCACTCGGTGAGTATTCCGACGCGCGTGTCTCGTTTCGCGATCGCCTATGCCGCCGACTATAGTTATCCAGTTCGGAATTACACCGCCGCTTGGGTATCGAGGTATCAGATAGCCGTGTGCATATAGATTGTAAGCGGCTATCCAGAGCCGTCGGTGTGAACTCGATTGGGTCTCTTTCCCGAGGAGACACGCGCTCTCTTTCCCTCATTCAAAATGGCTCCGGCCCGTCATTTGAAAATACCAAATTATCTCGGCGACGAGATTACAGGTTTGTTCGTTTCAATCGCACCGAGATCGCACCTTTTGTACTTAGAGCGAAACGAATGTCGACTGAGAAATTCACTTGGTTGATTCGAACAGAATTCTTGTTTGGATATGGGCGAACAAATGTTTTTTATCGTGAGAGCCGAAGTTTGATTCTCTCCGTACTAAAGGTTCGGTTATCTGAAACAAAAATGAAAAAGGTTTGATTCAGAGAACCAAGTTTTAGTTCTCACAATCGAAACGTTTGTTTGCTCATATTCAAACGAAAATGTTGTCTGATTCAGCTAAATTTTTCCGCTCTGTAAGCCGGTGATAAAAGAAAAAGGAAAAAAGTTCCAGTAGCAATACCACGCCGAAAAAAAAGATTTAAAACTTTATCTTCGAAATATGAGGTTTATTTCGCAGAAATAAACGTTCATTCCTAGCAAATAAGCCAATTAATAAGAAAACTTTGGTATATTTCACGAAAATATATATTCCGTCATCACAGTCAAATTTTCTCCTAACCCATAAATACCGAAAGAAAATGTCATAAGAAACATTTACTTCGTCAAATTTCAATTTATTTTTCTCAGTATAGTTCAATTAAAACGAACAAGGCCTTACTGTCTATTGAACACGTAATTCATTCTGTATCTCTCAAATTCTTTACTTTACAAAAGTGTCATTCTCCTTGTCTTTCTCTCTTCCTCTCTCTCTTCTTCGGTGCATCGCTGTCGACGAAGACAGAGGGAAACGGCGTCGTTTAAAATGCAAACTCGATGAAACGCGATTATCGCGCGCGGGGATTGCAGTCAGTCGGATATCTACGTATATATATATATATATATATATATATATAT